ATGCCGGTAGCGACAAAAACTGCGGGGAACTCTGCAAAAAACGCATCTTCGCACTGGCAGCCCGTGTGTTGGCCAATTATTTACGTTTTCCTCCACTTACAAAAGTCATTCAGAAATTCCCCATTGGTCTTAAAATTTAAAAGCAGATGCTACCACTCGAGCTACTTCCGATTGCCTTCGTCTTTCATAAAGACTAAGTAGAAAGAGAGTTTCTATTGTGAAGAATTAGTCGCATATCGTAACTCATAGAGCCTAATTTATGATCGGAATTCGTTATGAATGGTGCTGCGAAATAACTACTCTGAATCCATAAATCTGGCCCGGGATGAGAAAATTTATCCCTACATGCAGCAGAATTCGCTCCTCTGGTAGACTTCGAAAGCACTGCAGATCGCGTGATTGACTTCTTTCATTCCAAAAGCATGCTTATAATCATTCATTATATTAAGCTGTTTGCGGTGGACATATTATTGGCGAGAAAGGTACCATTCAGAGTCCGCGATATCCAGAAAGTTACTCGCCCAATTCAGAATGCAAATGGGTTGTTTTCGTTCCTGAAGGCTATCAAGTTGCTTTGACATTCCAATTTTTTAATGTCAGTTTTTTTTCGCGAATTACGAATGCTGTGATAAAATTACTGTAGATTTAACCCACCGCAAAGATTTTAACTGATTCAAAGGTTTTAAGATTCTCATTACTCGGTAAATCCCTTGGCCTCTTGAAATAGTATAGAACTGGCACTCGGACAGGCTTCCACATATTTCCAAAGTTTGAATTAATTCGCGAATCCTCACTGAGACTGTCAAGTTTGGAAGAATGATCGATGAATTTGCTGGTACTGAAATGCATCTACATGCCAAGCATATCCGAGTCCTCGTTCTCATGTTTGCAGTTTGTACTTGCCTTCTGTGCTATGCGCGCTTGTCAAGCCTCAGTGAAGATTGCCTGAATGGCGACTATTCTCGCTAGTGCCATTCGTTGATGCGCTCTGTCTTCAGCAA